CAGCGCTCTGCAATTCGCCATTTCGGATCGTTCGGGATGGCACATACGTGATGAGGTCGTTCCTCTCCTTGCCCTTCTTGAGACCACCGAAGGCCATCTTGGTACCGGGGATGAACTTCTTGGGGTTCTCGAGGTAGGAGAACTGCAGACAGCATTAGCCACAATTCTTCTATACAATGTGCGATATGGTGAGCGGAGCATACCAGAGTGTTCTCATCCCAGGTGACACCAGCCTGCTTGTTGGCGTCGGTGTAGGCGTAGCCCTCAGAAGAACCGGTCTTACGGCCGAAGAGACCGTGCAAGTTGGGGCCGACCTTGTGGCCACCGTTAGCCTCAACGGTGTGGCACTGAGCGCAACGAGTCTGGATGCGATGTTAGTATACTGTCCTGTCCGAGCAAATGTAATCTTGCGACGCAGAGCAATCACAACTCACCTGGAAGAGCTTGGCACCCTTGGCGGAGTCACCTGAATCGAAGTCGATGTTAGCGAGCTGTTGTTTGGCTTTCTCTGCCGCCTCGGCCTCTCTCTTCTCCCTTTCTGCCATTTCCTCGCGACGTTGAATCCAGCAAGGTAGAACACAGGCATCCCAGCTCATGATGACAGGTGTGACGCTCGACTTATGCTGTGATTGTGAAGTCGACTTTTGTCTTCCGACGTAGCGTTGTTTAAAGAGTAAAAGCGTGCGGTTTGCGAAAATGTAGAGCAAACGCGACAGCAAACGCGATGAATCGAGTCACAGCAGGCAGAAGTTTCGAGCGCCAACAACAGCCATCATAAAGCGGGAAACCATCACGGCATTGGGTGAATGCAGTGTTTGAAAGCACCAGTGAATGAAGAGCCTCCGAAGAAGACAAGGAGCGGCCAAAACAAGGAAAACTGCGTCAGCTTACCGGGAGCGAAAGAAGCGTCCTTGCCCATTTTGAATGTGTGTGAAGGGATTTAAAGGGTATTAAAAGGTGTAAGAGTAATATACAAAGGAATTGGTCTTGTGGAGGATATACTGGGGAAAATAGAAGCGATGGAGGAGAGAAATCGGACGAGGGAAGAAAAACTTGCGATCAATTTGTACAAGAGCGGCCAGCCTTTGCCCCCAACGCCTCCCGTGATCCGGGTTGCAGCCAATCAGGGATGAGATGATTCAGCACAACGGGCGCTTCCGGGACAAGATGCCGGTGTCTTTTTTGAGCCATGCTCCATGTTTTCCAAGAATTGTCTCCATTTACCCAGATCGATCTGACCGAGTTCTGGTCAATTGACCCCTGTGCATGCCAGGCTTGAGACTCCATGCTTTTTTTTTTGGAGTCCCTACACTACTCTACAATAGGAGATGATACTCGCTGAATCCCTTCCGAGCATATAGCGGCTTTTCTGCCGGCGACTGACGTAGCGCTTCCGAATGATCTCATCCTCTGTTCATACTTGCCAGGATTGTGCCTCCGTCATGGTGGCCCAGTTCCCTACGTAACACACACAAATATAGGGCGGTAACTACGGAGAAGACCCGGAGAAGATACGGAGTTGGGCTACCGCAATTGAACTGTGTCTGGTCCCGCAAAGCCCTGGTGTTGGAAATTCGCGCGCCATCATTTGTCCTCCGAGTTTGGCCGACTTGTCATGGGAATTCGTGTTGTTCCGCTCCGCCGGGGACAATCCCGAGGTGGCCTGAGGCAGAGGGAACAACAGCCTCAACAGGCACCAGGAACCGTATACACTTGGTTTATTGCAAGCACATGCACATGCACGTGGAAAGAATTCGTTAGCACTGTAGCCATACATTTGTCAAATACACATAATATCTGGTTGATATCTTTCACAGTAATCTTTATTCAATCTCCAGCAGTAGCACTGCATAAATTCAACAAAACCTTTGTCACGTGATTCGTATATCCTCCGCAGCACCAGGAAAAAAATACCCGCGCCGCAACACCAACAGGTTAGGCATTTCCCAGCGGCCAACTCCAGCTTTCATCTGCGGTGGACCTCACCAGTCAGCCTTCGCCCACCTTGCTCTACGCAGAATGCCGCCCGTTACAATCCCCCAATTCCTCCTCCCCCGGGGCGCTCCCTCCCCGCTCAGCCTCCGCGCCTTGAGCCGACGAACCACCTACCGCATCACCAGCAGCACCACCCAGCGATGCGCCTCCGATGACAGCAAACCCCGCGTGCTGTCCAAGCCCGACAAGTTCCGTCCTCCATCTCACCCCGCGCGCCGGGTCGTCCAGACCCGCAATGGGAAGGTTGTCAACAGCGGCCCGATCAACTACCCGGGGCCGAAGCTCAGCGAGAAGGAAAAGGAAGAGCAGAAGCATAGGCAGTACCCGAACATGTTCCCGCCTGAGGGGACCGTCATGCACAAGTTCTTGACGAATCGGTGGATTCACATTTGGATTGCGATGGTGAGATATCCCTCCTTGTTTATTTGTTCGATTGCAAAATGATATTATACGAATGGTATGGGTTTACTAACGTTCAATGTGATCTGTGTAGGGTGTACTGACCTCCCTGGCTACTTTCACATTTACCACGAACTTCAAGCACTCGTCGCCGTTCGCTCATCTGCTGCCGCCGTGGTCGGCGCTGCTGTCGCACCCCATTGATACGGTTCGGCAGGCCATTTCGGTGTTCCGGATGCATGTGCAGCACAACTCGATCGAGACAAGGGAGAAGCGTCGCAGACGGGTGGACGATGCTGAGAAGAGACGGCAGTATCGGGTTGCTCATGGGTTGGAGGAGCCTAATGAGAAGGATGCTGCTGGTGCTGATGGAAAGGGGGAGGTGGCTGTGGATGACCAGTCTCCTGTGGCTAAGGAGCAGCAGGGTGAGGATGATAAGAATGTGTATGTTGATTGGGAGGGTAACAAGCGGCCTGTCAAGAAGTGGTTGGGGATTTGGTGAGAGCGTCGCCTGGAGACTTTATAGTTAGAGGCATTACGTCGACATCGTCAAGCATTGTATATTAGCCTATGTTCTCTTCTCATGTATTATCTGTTTGGACAGGTATAGTCATGTGCTTTGCCATAGCAATATTTGTTGGTTTGATATATTCTACTGCATTCATCTGACACAAGCCCTATTTAGCTGCACATCCCTAGCAGATGCTTGGAATGATCTCAACTAAAATGCTGCAATGAAGAAACAGTACTGAGGATCAAGGTATGGTGTCACTGTTAGTCCTCGTCTCCAAGGTAGAATGAGATTTCACAGCTTTCCAGATAGTGCAGGTACATGGGGCTTTACATTGTGTCCTTGGAGCTTTACTGTGTCATTTCATGAACACTGTGCAACAGGGTCACGATGCATCTACTGCTTTTAGTGGTCTAACAAACATCAGCGGTGCTTTCTAGGAAGCACTTACATAGCCTTAAGGGCTAATTAGATAGATGTCGCGTTCAGAGCCAGACGCTGCGGAATCAATATTCAAGGCTCACTGTGCTTGTCCAACTCCTTCCTGAAGAGATAGTAGACATAGACTACTCCATATTTCTAACGTGGACAATGCTCCACAGATCTTCATTCATCTTTCAATCAAAATCAAATGTAGACATGCCCTATATCATCTCCTGCATGTGATAAGCTTCTCCACACGCCGTGGTTCACCAAATGCGGGGAAAACCGAGTGATTGACAAGCACTGAAATCAACAAGATACTTGCATGATCAACCTTCAACTTATCGCATGGTTAACACTATTTCCAGTGGAGTAGTCCATATCCCCAATATAAACCCACCCCCACTGAAGACAGTCGGCTATCTATACCACGCGATCCTACTTACATTCCTTGGTCGGATGCGGATGACGTCGACCACTTCCAGCTTCCGCGATCGATCGATCCAGACGAACAAATAAATACATCGCAACCCCACACTCAGACTCCAGGTCCTCATTATTCTCTAATTCAAGCTGAATCTGAAGAAATAACCAACCATGCCCTGGTCCGCCGCACTCCCTCAGGCGATGTTCGCCCACCCCCTAGTCTCCATCGTGACGCCCATCGCGACAGGTTCTCTAGTCGGGTACCATACCAACCGTGAGCTTCCCATACCTCTCCACCTCTTGGAACACAAAAACTGAAAATAAACCAGGCAAAGGCCGCACCAAACAAACCTACCACTCGCTCAAAAAGCCCCCTCTCTACCCACCAACCTGGGCCTTCCCCGTCGTGTGGACCGTCCTCTACGGCATGATGGGTTTCGCCATCCACCACGCAACAGTATCAGGAACCATAGCCGGCGAATACCCCCCTTCACTATCATCACCATCATCAATCGTCCAAGACTGGACCGTCAAGTCCCAGACACTATACATCTCTCAACTGGCGTTGAATCATCTCTGGATGCCGCTGTTCTTCATGTTTCGGAAGCCGGCGTGGGCGTTGGCAGATCTGCTGCTTCTGAGTGGGAATGTGGCGGCGTTGATGCATATCTGGTGGAAGCATGACCGGGTGGCTTTTTGGTTGATGACGCCGTATGCGGCTTGGTTGGGGGTGGCGACGTATTTGAATGCTGGGGTGGGGATCTTGAATAATTGGGTGATTGGGGGTGAGAGGAGGAAGGAGGAGTGATTTTGATGGATGGTACATGGAGTACTATATGTGATGTGTGTGTGTTTATGTTTATGGTTGTTTTGAGGCGTGGATCAAATTTGGGTTGAGCATGTAAGATATATATGTTGGCTTAAGGAAATAGTTGTACTACTATTGATTTGTTCAATTTGAATGAAGTGCTGTTGTGTTCTTAGCTTCTAACAGATAGCAAAGTGACCATTGGTAACGCAGCAGTTGTTATACGAAGTATTAGTTCCCCATGTCTATACAATCTGCAATTTAGGAATTATTTTACAGGCCATGGACAATGAAGTTGGGTGCCGCCTACTCTCCCTAACCAGACCAGCAGACATGATATAGTATAATCTGCTAGCTGAAATAAAGTCCGACGCAGGTTTCTTTTCCCATTGTAATCCCCCTCAACCACCATATAAAATTTGCAGAAATCCATATCCATCACTTCATTAGACAACAAGATCGCTCAAGGCTTGTCCTTTTGTGATTGAGAATCTGTAACTCCGTGAAGTCATTCAAAAAGACAGCGTGGAGAAGTCGACATTCTTCATGATCTATGAAGTGGTCAGCAAGATAAAAATATAATGCTAGAATAGGGAAAAAAAACCTGAGATTGGTACACTGGTAGCGCAATTGATGACAATCCAATCTTCAACGGCTTTCTTCTGCAGCCAGTCAAAGTACTGCCCTCCCCCCTGAAACCGCTTCACATGATCGTCAATTCTATCATCATGTCTCACCAGTTCCACTGCCCACTTCTTCTCTGTCCTAGCCCATTCCGTGGAAATTGGCACCCCTCGGCCAGCTACTTTACAAAACGCCCTGTAGAACTCATCTTGGTACTGCGTTCCAACGGGTCTGGGTTGTGCTGCGGTTGACAGTTTCCTGTCGGTAGTCGGAGGCTTCAGGTTCATACTTGAAAACTCGTGTAGGATTTCCATACACAATTGAGTCAAGTTGGTGAAACGCGGCGGCAAGGCTCTTTTGTCCTGGCTAATGAGGTACTGAAGCCATCTAAGGTTCTACTTAGTACGAACAACAGAGGATATATATGACGATACTTACTTCTCATGCAGGCGGTATGGCAGAACAGCAATTTCATATTGGTCTGAGTTCCCTTCTGGACCCGTAAGCATCCTGTGGATCCAGCCTCTTTCATAGCATTTCTCCAACCCTGGTCTCTGTTCCCAATTGATATTCCCCTTCTCTGTAATCTCGCACAGTATTTCGTGAACTGGACCTTTGAGGTCTATTAGTTTAGGGAAAGAGCGAGAGACGCCGCATTTCGCCACAAAGGCAAAGGCAGATTCCTCATCACCGTCGAGGATGTTGAGAACATGCTGCTGGGATATCACAAACATCCTGTCATGTTTCATGTCGGCGCAGTAGGTCTACCGCAAGATTAGCCATTCAGGTTAATACGAACATAGACAAAAACGATCACAGACACCAATAGAAGCGAAACGTGGAACATACCTCACAAACGAACCGTATCATCGCCGTTACGCCTCCGGGGTGCCCATTCGTAAGTGAGAACAGGTATTTCTTAGCTTTTTCATCGATGGTAACTACCCAGTTGGGGAAATCGTATCGGAGAATTCGGCAAAGAACGTCATCAAACTCTGACTCGGTATAGTAAAGGCCAATTTTCGGTGATTCACTACACGATTGGGGTGTGAGTGTTATGCATTGTCTTTCGGGTATAGTGGCTGGACAATATCCGAGACCCTGAGGTGGTTCCACACCCGTTGATGGACATCCAAAATAGCAGAAGAGACAAATGCGTAGTTTATATCTGCAAGGCTTGTCTATCAATAATTTTATTATATGGTTCCACAGGTAATCATCATCGTATGACCCTTGGGCCTCATCCACAATCACAACAATCTCATCGTTCATGAGGTTTGGGACCTGACCGCGTGGAAGACGTTGTTTGAGCGCCTTAGCAAGTGCCACCCATGGCTCTGTGTCGAATGTAATAAGGTCTTGTTTCCAAGTGTAGAAGAATGGGACAATACGTCCTTGATTGTGCAAACGATCTTGGAGCAACCGTGCCAACGTGGTTTTTCCGCTGGCAGGAGTTCCTCTAATGAGGATAACGGGATAGGTATCGATGAGCTTGATTAGCTCAGTCACCGTGTCCTGTCTAAGGGATATATGCGAAAGATCCTCTATCGCCATTGTCAGCCATGGAATATGTATTTGGGGATGAGATCGAACCTATCCAGCGACATTCGATCTCAATTCCGTCTTCACCTGGCATCACTGCTATATGATAAGCTACAGCATGGAATAGTGGAAAGAGGTACCAACCTTGCTTGGTACTTTGAGAGACTGCGGACGAGACAGCATCCTCATGAAAATTGAGAGTGTGTTCGCACCGCTCACACTTTTTGTCGGAATCGACCGAACTTAGATGAAATGTCCCTTTGTCGCACGGACAATAGAATTTAAGACGGCCTGTTGTAAGAATGAAGGTGCACTTTCCTGAAGCCAAGATGCGAACTGGGGCGTTGGGGATTTGGGGACAAGCTGCATTGGTCATAACGGATGAGTTCAACGAGTCAGTGGCCATTCTTGGAATCAGTGAGAGGCTGATGGACACAAGGAAGTCATCTACTTGATCAGGAAAGTAGAATGGTGCTTGTATTTATACCTTGCAGTCGCAAGATTCAATCGCACGTTCGGCTTTGCTCACGAGTTAGGGTGATAATTATTCTTTAATACCTTCACTGCTCTTCCTCTCTTCTATTCCAGAACTATTCCTGAACATTAATTCTCGTGCAATATATTCATCATCCCCTTAGTTTTCTTCATGCTCATCTTCCATGCTGCTGCCACTTAGCGGTCATCTTGCGCCACATAATACTATATACCTCCATCCTATCTATAAAAGAATCCTTCATCTATACTACCTTCAATCTGTTCATATAATCTGGAGTAGCGCGCCATTATAAGCTTACTTCTAGTAAAGTATGTAAATAGTAAATATATATACTAATTCTTGATGCAGCTGTGTAGTAGTCAAGTAGCTCTAATATCTACCAATAACCTCCCCCCGAACTACTTAATATTACTTACTCCTCTAGATGAAACAGTAAATAACAGCCCACTAAGACCAAGTAACCGATACTGAACCCAACAAAGAATGTAAAGAAAGTGCAAAATAAAAGGAAGTATAAATGAACATCCCCATACATCCATCCCTTATCACCACATGACCACTTCCCCACGTGACAGATAACAAAGCTACTGCCGGTTTCCCCTCACCACCCCATCTTTAACTCAAATCAACAAACACCACCAATATCTCTCCACCTCATCCTCCCAATCTCTCTATTATACCCCCCATACAAACCCCAATGACCCAACCCCAACCCCAACCCCAATTCCAACCATGAAAATGCCCCCCCTCCCATGGGCATGGCGACAGCACAAAACCATGACGCCCTTGAATTCTACCCAGCGTATTGCTTCAAGGCGTCCCCAACCCACTTCACCTGGGTGAAGATGGCCGCGGTGGATGTACTGCGATTGAAAAGAAGGCCGGAGTTTCCAGGTACACCCCATCCATTTCTCCTTAATCTCCATTATCTACATACATACCTTGCTACATATAGCACATTACCATACTATACTATACCCTATCTTCATCCCCCTCCCAATACATACACACATCTAACCCACAAAGCATAGACCCCAAAACCTACTTCCACAAAAACCACCCTATCCAATACATCTCCCTTTTGGGACTAATAACCTCTCGAACGGATCTACCCACGGTCACGATCCTTACGCTCGACGATAGCAGCGGTGCGACGCTCGATGTGGTGGTTCAGAAAGCCATTTCTACACCATCCACATCCATGCTATCAACTGGAATGCACACACACATATCCCCTACAACCGCCCTCCCTTTGGACATAAGCCCGTATACACCGGGGACGCTCGCGCACCTGAAAGGCACGGTGACCACCTTCCGCGGCGTGAACCAGCTGCAGCTCGAGCGGATATTCCCTGTGCGGGACACGAATGCTGAGATGCGGTTCGTGGATCAGCGGTCGCGGTGTTTGGTGGAGGTGTTGGATGTGCCGTGGCGGTTGGGGCGGGAGGAGGTGGAGAGGTTGAGGGGGGAGGTGGAAGCGGAAGTGGAAGGGGGGGATGGAGGTGTTGGTGTGGATGAGGAGGAGGAGAGGGGGAGACGGAGGAAGAGGAGGAGGGAGGAGAGGGAGGAGAGGGATCGGAGGAGGATTTGGAAGATGTGGGAGAGGGAGGAGAGGGGAAGGGAGAGGGAGGCGGAGGTTTGTAGGGTTGAGGGGCGGAGGGACATGAGTGTTATTGAGGGGAGGAAGATGAAGAGGGTGGATGGGGGTGGATGATGTGTGTGCGGTTCCGAAAGGTGTGGTATTAGTGATATTATACATTTTATAGCAGAAGAGGAAGGGAGGAAAAGGCGCCAAGGGTCATTAACTGAGGGAAGTTCGTGGTACACTTTCAAAAAGGCATTTAGTCAGAGTGGCTAAACATAAGACATAGAAGCCAAGAATAATAATGAACGCTATCATAAGTCATAACTCATAAACGGATATCTCTTTTCATACAAAAAGCGCGCCAGAACGATAAGTATTAATGGTCAAACACGGTCAGCATATCAATATCACCTATACCCATACGGTTTATAGTCGTAGCCGGTGGCCGCGCGATAGTAATCCTCGTCGCCGCCCCAGCTGCTGCGCTTGAGTTTTTCTCGTTCGCTGTCTCGGTTCCGCAGGGCATCGTACAGTCGCCTATCGCCATGCTCGGGGCTAAGGTTGTGGTACTTGCGACTGTCGTCGATGTCGCCCGGGAGGGCAGATGTAGTTGAGGGGTAGTAGTAGTCATTGTCAGACAAACCTCCATATCGAGAGCCACTACCATGGCCTAAGAGGTCGCTTTCAGAGTGCCTGTAGTCGCCGCCTGTATGAGCACCCCGTGACGGACTTCGAGATCGTCCGAACGTAGTTGTGGGACGTGAAGTCCCGGTGTGGAGGTGCGTCTCCGACATTCGGGGTCCGATCTCGATCGGGCCATCTTTCGAGCCAGATCCTGCGGACATCGAGTTCGCATGGCGATGGCTGGGTGCTTTATCTTCGTACACTTTACCACCTCCAGGATGCGCAGTGTAGGGCTTCCTTTCGCGTTCAATAGGTCGCGATGGTACCTCTTTGTCCTCATCATCGACAATAGCAGAAGACGATGTGCTATAGTAGGGTTGACGTTCACGCTCTCCCATTGAAGGGGTTGAGTCGACGGAGCTCACTGATGCCTTGTGCGCAGATTTCTTGTGACGCTGTGCGGCTACCTTTTTCAGCTCGTCCTCGGTAATGGGCGGCAAGTCGACGTTGCAAAACTCCATGATTTTCTGATCAATCTCTTCCCTCAATGAGAGGTCTGGGGCATCAGGGAACAAGCGCCTTGAGAACTCCTTGGGTAGTCTTTCACTCCTGTTATCAGGGTTGTTGATGGGCATGTTCAAGAGCGCCTTCTGGAAGCGCTCGTACTCTTTCTCAGGATGGGCCTGAATCAGTAAAGTAGCCCAGCGGGCAAAACCACGAGGAGTCAGGCCCGGGATATCAGGCCTCTCATGGAGTTTATTTTGTACGAGATGATGTTCCACTTCAAGCCTTCGCAGCAACCTCGAGATCTGGGATGTACGGTCGTCAAAGATGTCTAGTCAAAGTCAGCGACAATCGCTCCATTACAGAAGCTCACAAGAACCGACCTTCCCAAGGGTATGGATCAGACGAGACACTTGTATCTGCATAGAATTGTTTCATCTTCTCAGGAACTACGACGAGAGTATTCTCCGGCGGGTAATTCTCGATCTACCCAGCAGACTCGTTAGTCTCTAGAAAACACCGGTTGCGGACTGCACTTACAAGGTGGACTGCGATGCCGCGCAATAGCATGCTGAGCTTTTCTGTTGGCTTCCCGTCCTCGAAAAACTTGCCCCATACTTTGTCCAACGTGGTCATTTCAGTTACCGTAGCTTCCCTCGATGGCGGCTTTGGTCGGGACTCCATGCTCTGATGATGGTCGCTGACCTGACTTTGGCTCGTCGGCGATCCGCGTCTTTCACCCGGCTGCCCCACGGATGGTCCGGGAAATATATGAGGGCTGCTGGGATGTACAGGCGGCACAGGTGCTTGGTATTCCGGGTTACCCTGGGGAATCTTAGGCGGTGGTGGAGGGGTATTCTGCGGCCTAGGTGAATGAGACGGTTCACCATACATGGCGGCTGTAGCTGGATGACTCCATTGCGGCGGCGGCGGTGGTGACGGCTGTTGATCACTTTGCAAATTGTCCAACCCCGTCGCTTTCAGCTGTTGTATCACCGTCGCAGTTATCTGGGAGACCACCTCTGGAGACAGATAGGCTGGAGAGTCAGCCTGGCGAAAGGCCGAATTCACAGCCTCGTTGATCCTCCCGGGAGGAGGAGGTGGGGGTGGTTGCTGCTGCTGATGCTGCTGTTGCTGCCATGGAGCTGGCTCGTATGGAGGTTTCGGATAGTAACCTGTCGGAGAAGCGGAGGTAGGAGGAACTTGAGGCTGAGGCATATTCACCTGCTCCGGCCCATATTGTGCAGGGTACGGAGGAGTGTAAGATGATGCGCCATTTTCGGTTGGATTGGCATGGTTCATGCTTCCAAGCTGCGAGTAAGAAGGACTGTTGGGGAAGCTGTTGTAAGCCATCGCGCTGGGTGCCGGGGCGCACGACGCCGGTCAGTCTTGTCTGCCCTGCGTGATCACGAGCGCAAGGTAATCACCAGAGCAGCGCTTGTGAGGGAGGTAACGAGCTGGTGCAGTAAAAGGCTACCGGGAGCGTCAAGGACAGAAATATCAAAGCAAATGGAAGCAGAGGTGCGACAATCGTGTGGCAACGGACTGACTGGTCTGCACCAGAACAGAGGGAAAGAAGTAGAAAATAAAGACGGGGCAGGAAGAGGGGCGACGGATGCTGAAACCAACGGGATACACGCAGTGTGTAGCGAAGTGGGCTGGGTCTGGCAACAAAACAGAAAATAGAGCTGAAGACTGACAGCTTGAGTGGGTCGTCGCGTGTCTGATGCAGAAAGAAACAGAAAATCGAAAGACAAAGAAGAAAAAAGCAGATGACAACTAAAAAAAGATGTTGACACTTGA